ATGCCATTCAAAGATATATATATATATATATATATAAAAAAAAAAAAAAAAAAAAAAAAAAAAAAAAATTTTTTTATATATATATATATATAATTTTTTTTCTTTTTTTTTTTTTTTTTGCAGACCTCATCCTGGCTCTTCTTTGCTTCTCACTGATGAAGGGCTTTTTTTTTTCTAGCTTTGCCCTGCCTCTAGGAGCCTGTTTCGAACGCCCTCATTATGTACTTCACCCCAGCTGCAGTTTTCCGCTCTTTATGTAGGTCACTTGATGTCATCCTATGGTTGTTGAGTGACATTTCATTCCTGCCGAGTTCGCCGGTAAAAATAGACCTTCATTATTGAATCAGCAGTCTCCTTTCAGTCAGGCCACACACAGCAACTCAAACGTCTCATACATATTCCAATACAATCCTTTGCAAAGTGCCTGAAAATCCCGATACCGGTGTCTTTCACTTCTCCTCACCATCCGTCACTCCGTCAGTGGCCGCGAGAATCCGTCTTTTGGCCTGTACTGATTGGCTTTGACACCTCTCAGCTTATGGCTGGGCGGCTGAGCAACACAGTTATTCCAGCAGGGATATTGATAGCCCCTTTGCACCGGCACCCTGATCCTATGGATTACAGTGCTGCATATTTGGGAATTTGAGGGTGTTAAGTATCTAGACCTGTCTTCAGCTTGGCCTATAATTGATTATGTGCTGATAATGAATGATATTAGCATAATTTATAATTCAACCACTTTATTAGACAAGTGAAATCATTGAGTTCAGATGCTTCCATCTAGACGTTGATGGATTAATGAATAATTGGTCTGGTGAATGAAAACAAAGCTTTGACTTTCAGTCGGTAGTGCAAATGTTTTTATTGATTGCTAATGCATCGTATTTTGGGTCTGATCAATCACACGAGGTCTCGTCTACATTAACGAAAGTCAGATATTTCAGTTTGTGCCGTTGCGGAGATCATGCGGTGAGCTGCAGTGCAGTGTTGTTTAACTGTTTGCACATTGAAATGACAGCATTGCTCCGTTTAGATCTAGTTTCATGTTATTTATAGCACACTATCTCCATTGTAATCCGAGTAAGGAAGGATACCTGGACATCTTGCGCTTTTATCCTTGTTGTCATAAACCACCATAAGCAAGCAAGACCTCAGATAAGCTGACCATGCACATACTTGCGAATGCTTCAAAGATATTTTCAAGGGATTTTCAACAATGCAGAGAGCACACAAAAGCTTATATAGGTCACGTCTCTGTTTAATCAGTTTCATACCCTTGATAAGGACAAATATTGTAAATAAAAACAAAATTGTGCAATTTGATTATAGAAATATGCACAAAAACATTCTGAATGCATGTAGGTTATTCAGAGAGTTTTGTCATGCTTTTCATTTTTGCATTTATGAGGCATTATATCTGGTTAGTAATGAGCTTGTTATAGTGTCAGGTTAGTTTCACAGTATATGATCTGACAGTTAGTGTAGTGCTTGTTTCATTAGCTGGTGTGTAGTTAGAAGAGGAATTAAAGATAATGCAAAATGGATAAGCTACATGCATGCATATGTGCAGTCTTTTACAGCTTTTTAAACTATTTGCAAGTCAGTTGATTACATTGTTAATAACTCCTTAATTAAGCAGCTTTAGCGAACATGCATACATATGTATTTTTGCATACGAGTAGATTTATATACAGGTGAGTCAAATCTACGTGTATTATGACTTTCACATTAATACTTTTGAGAAGTTACAAGCAAAAAGGCTTGATATTGATGAAACTTCATATCTTCATCCAAAACATGTCAAATTGGCTATATGTAGTATTTTAAAGGTAGTGGCAATCCAATTAATTATCAACAAAGATGGAAAACAATTTGAAAAAAAAAGAAAAAAAATTAAGCATAAAGCAGTATTAATAGTGATGCTTGACTTTACGAACACCACTAATGAGAAACATTAGATGGTAGTACTACAAAAAGAAGATCATGCAATTCGATTTAAATTTGTATTTCTTTTATGCAAAGTAAAGCAATATACCTGTTGTTGTTGTATTTTTTATTTATTTAGCAGATATATTAAAAACAGCAATATTAATAGTGATGCCTGACTTTGCAAACACTGCTAATATGAGAAATTAGACAGTAGTATTTTTAAAGTAAGTTCATGCAATTAGATCTAAATGAGTATTTCTTTAATGCAAAGTAAAGCAATGTACCAGGAGTTATTTATTTAAGAAGATATCTTAAAAATGTTAATAAAAAATATATATTTTATTTTTTTATTTAGCAGATATATTAATATTCTATTTTATTACAAGAAAAAACATGTTGAAATATTTAGAAATAAAAATGTGTAATTAAGTTATATGTAATTCTAAAAACATTCATAATTTAAAAACTTCCTTTTTATTTTTTTTCCTTAATTTGGACTTAGACATTAAAAACAAATTATGTATATTCTAAAAATATAAAAATATTTATAATCTGAAAATGTCAAGTTTCATGAATGTGTTAATGACATCTATGATTTGTTTTCTTCAGTTTCCTTCAGTTATCTTGTTTTGTAAGTAGCATGAGCATGAGATATTTGTGCTCAAGATTACCGTGGAGATCTCGCACCTTCCAGCGAGCAGCTAATGCTGTAGAGTGCTTGCAGGGTGACGCAGCATCTGCAGAGGCAGTGAGATTCTCTTTCTGTGTCTCTGCGTGTCCGCAGTATGTGCTACCACTGCGTTTTTAACCCCTCCTCCACTAATTCTCACATCTCGTATCAGTTTGGCCTCCCGTGTCACTGGATATCCTGCAGTGGATGTTTAATGCAAACACACATTTGACCTTGTGCAGAATATTCTTCTAACTTTGGCCTTCTTAATAAATATTGCAGTATGAAGCATACATGATTACTGCATTGATGCGGTTTGTTTTTCATGTATGTTGTAGTGTCATTTCTATGTTGTTGTTGTTTTTTTTTTGCAGGTAATCAATTTGTTTACTGTATATAATGAAGTATAATGTATATAAGTCAATAGTTGTGAAATAGTAAGAGTAAAAAGCTAGTAAATGAATGTGAATAGCAGTTCAGATCATTAAGTCTTAGGAGAAATGTTTGATTTCTTATTGAGCTCTTTGACTTTTGCTGAAGTTGTGACACTTTTGAGATCTCTTCTGAGATAAATGAGAGATTTACTGGGGTCTTTTTTTGCAGGAGACTTGCGCAAAATATTTAATTTCTGTCCAAGAGAAACAACTGAGATACTTAATAGTTGTCATTTGTGATCTTTCTTGCCATAGGGTCGGTGTACGAGAGAGAACTGTAAGTACCTTCACCCACCAGCGCATCTGAAGACGCAGCTGGAAATCAACGGACGCAACAACCTCATCCAGCAGAAGACTGCAGCAGCGATGCTGGCGCAGCAGATGCAGTTCATGATCCCTGGCACCACCATGCAACCAATGGTAAGAACCATCTACTCATCTTCCCGTCTAGCTGCATATTTACATTAATTAAATAGTTCACCAAAAAAATGAAAATGTGCTGAAAATGTACTCTCAGGTCATCCAAGATGCAGATGAGTTTGTTTCTTGTTCAGAACAGATTTGGAGAAATGAAACGAAGAAACAAATCCACCATTGAGACTTTTGTTTTTGTTTTAGTTTTTTAACTTCAAACTGTTGCTTCCGGCTAAATTACGAGTCCATAATCCAAAATAATGCTTTCTTCAAATCTGATGAAGGAACAAATTCAGCTACATCTTGGATGGCCTGGAAGTGAGTACATTTGCAGCAGATTTTAATTTTTAGGTGAACTATTCCTGTTATTGGAATAGTTCCATATATTGTCTTCTTCACAGCCTACATTTCCTGTCAGCCAAGGTCTGGGCTCAAACCCTGGACTAAGTTACGCACCGTATCTGACTCCCATGAGCCATGGCATGGGTTTGGTCCACACAGAGATGCTTCCCAGCACCCCTGTAATCGTCCCCGGCAGCCCGCCGGTCAGTGTGCAGAGCTCGTCCTCCACACAGAAACTACTGCGCACAGACAAGCTTGAGGTAATACGTCACACAGAAACATTATGAAGCCATCTTTTCATTCGTCTTGAGACAAACAGCATCATTTCTGAACCACAGATGTGCAAAGCGCAGTTTAAATCTCATTGCCATAATTGAAATCTAGGTTAAAGGTATCAGAAAACTTGATTAAAAGCTTAAAATAAATCTGTATAGTTCATGCTTTTAACTCAAACTATTTACTGTAAGATAATAAAGTATTTGCCTTTAGTATATTGGTTGCAAAAAGTTTTATTTTGTTAAAATAAATATTCATTTAAAAATTATGCAATGTTGTAGTTGCGGCATCTAACAGTATATGGCAAAGAAATAGCGAAAGAAAGAAAAGACCAATCGTAATTCAGTATGCAAATAAAATATAAGCAAGAAAAAGCCAATCATATATATAAAGAAAGGATGAAAGAAAAGAACAATCATAATTTGGTGAGCAATCATAATTCAGTATGCAATTATATGCAAATAATAAATAAATAATCAGTATGTAAATAATGGCATCATCAGTCGGTTAGATTCTCAATGTAGAACACTTGAACAATGTCAAGGTCACAGAGATGTTCAAACTTTATTGAAGTATATTTAAAGTTTATGAAAACCAAAGACTTTAATCTGTATGTTAAAGACGGAGCTGAATTAATTACTGAAAAGTGTGAGAAGGAGGATAGAAAGAAGTGTGTAGCTCTACCTCGCAAGAAAATTATCAGCGTGGTTGAAACAATAACAGTTGAAGGTTCTTTGTGTGTGTGTGTGTTTGTGTGTGTGTGTGTGTGTGTTTGTGTGTTTGTGTGTGTGTGTGTCACTAAATGTGCGATCACTTAGCAACTGACTGATGGCCCTCCCACACTGAGAGGCTGTCGCTGCCTTTGTTAATATTCAGCTTTGTGTGTGTTTACTTACGTACCTGTGCTCATACATGAAAGCTTTGAAACTTCAATTACTCACGTCTCTGTTTGCACATTTCTGTTGTGTTCCCTGTTTGTTTTGTCTGCGTGTTCGTTTGCACCCGCGAATGCCCGCGACCAGGTGTGTCGTGAGTTTCAGAGGGGCAACTGTGCACGCGGCGAGACCGACTGCCGCTTCGCCCATCCTAGCGACAGCCCCATGATTGACACAAGCGACAACACGGTCACCGTGTGTATGGACTACATCAAGAGCCGCTGCTCGCGCGAGAAGTGCAAGTATTTCCACCCTCCGGCGCACCTGCAGGCCAAGATCAAAGCAGCCCAGCATCAGGCCAACCAGACTGCTGTCGCAGCGCAGGCCGCCGCTGCAGCCATGGTGAGCTAATCATGCACAATTGATTTTGAAAATACATGCATACAATTTTACGTTTAAAGAGTCATGTTGTGCAAAACATTAAAGAGTGTTAAAGTTCTTAAATTACACCACCGTGCCTCACCAGCTGCATTTAATTTACAGCAGAATTTAATTTACCGCATTGTCACGACACATTGAATCGTAACTAAGGCAGTGCTTAGAATTGTGAAATCGTTTTCAGTTATGTGCAAGATAAAATCAATTGACAACACATGTAGAGACGTGCCCGCAGAGGTTGCAATTGAGATATCTGATGATGTTAAGCACATTAAATGTGGAGCACTGCTTTATTATTATATAGCCATGACCCATCTCTAGAATCTGGGCGGGGTTGTGTGCCAAATCTGTTTCGACTCCCTTATCTCGTCCCCGGGGGATTTTAGTCCTATTAAACAGGGTGAGGAAAGAGATAGAGACAAAGAGACGAGCTGCTTGAAAATACAGCCGTGTGATAAAAATCACTCCCCCTTCTTATCCATCTAGTTTTGTACTGATGCGATCATTATTAGGAATAGGATATTAATATAATAAGCACAATAGCTTTTTTGCTCACACCCTCGACTGTACAAGTTCACGGGGCGGCTTACTTCCCCATTTCTCTGCCCAATGGGAGGCCTACTCTCTTCAGATCAGTCAAGATAAAATTAAGGAGATGGACGACATCTTCATGCCAAACTGACATGAATGCACAGGTTCATCTATTATCTAAGCGAAACTGTATATTGGGCCGCATGCCAGGCTGCTCTCGTTTGTCAGTTCTAACTCGTGTCTACGTTGCAAGCAAACGATGCAATGCAACGGAACAACAAAACTGAGGTTTGTGCAAGCAAGCAAGGGATGTCAAGTTTTGTTGCGTCTTGCAATTTATATGGCTTCGATTATAACAGGTACTATTAAGTATTGTGCCATTGCAATCTCTGCATGCAATTTTGTTGCATTATTCACTTGCAGCCTAGACAGCAATGTAGCTTTTTGTCTACACTGCAAGCAAACGACGCAAAGAGATTGATGCACCATTATGCACAAACGAAGAAAGAATTTTGTTGCATTTTGCACTCACAATGTATATTGTATATTATTGCGTCACAATCTCTGCATGCATGCAGTTTTGTTGCATCACTTGCTTGCAGCCTACACAGTTCTGTTGATTTATGATGGGAGCAATCTAAGTTTTTCTATACTGCATGCGGGCAATGTAAATGTAAAAAAAAAAATGCAGCAAATGAGAACAAAAAAACAAAAAAAGAATTGTTGCGTCTTGTCACTCACAGAGTATATGGCTTTGATTATAACAGGTGCCATCAAGTTTTTTTGCATCGCAATCTCTGCATGCATGCAGTTTCAATTTTGTTGCATTTGTTGCAGTATTGATGGTTTTGGTGATTATGGGAGCAATGTAGTTTTGTCTACACTACAAGTGAGTGATGCAACAAAACAGCAATGCTCCCTTAAAAACCAATGAAACCATGTGTACAGCAAGTGAGTGATGCATCAAAACCAGTATTGCACATTTGCAATATAACTTTGTTGATTGCAATAGGAGCAACTTGTGGCTTACAGTGTAAGAGCAAGGTCTACACTGTAACCCAGCCATGCATCACAACAAAACTAGGTTGCTCCAGTTATAATCAGCAAAACTGTCCACATTGCAAGTGGTGTGACGCAATAAAACATGCATGATAATGCATAATGCATGATATTGCATGCTCGTAGATAGCTTTTGTTTTATATAATGCGACTGTACTTGTTGTACTTGCTTACACTGCATACAAGGAATGTGGTGCAACAACACTAGATTACTTCCATTATAATAAACAGAAGAGAGTGATGAGATGCAAGAAAAACATGCAAGCTAGTGGTAGAGATAGCTTTGTTGATTATAATAAAAGTAGGGATGCACGATATTATCGGACTGATATCGGAATCGGCCGATAATGGCTTTAAATGTAAATATCGGCATCGGGCCGATATGAAAAATTATGCCAGTATATCTTGGCGATAAGAGGAATACATTAACTCACATGTGCTGAGGGTGTGCTAGTGATTAGATCAAGTCAGCAGTGTGGCTCATTCTTGAAGCAAAGTTTTGCCTGAATGATGATTAGATTCACTGTTTTGGATCGCTGCATTTAAACTGAGAAAGCACGTACAGAATGAAGCGTTCGGTGTATGATAGAGTAAACAGTAACAGCACGTGCAGCGGCAGCCTCCCCCTGGTCCTAATGCCCGTTCGGTAAGGAGTTTTAATCTGTAGGGGGCACTGTTGGCCTACTTCTAATTAAATTAAAAGTAAAATAGTTTACACAAATAACATTTAGACTGTGTTTCTGATTAAATAAAGCAGTAGTTGATGTCATAAAATAATGAGTATGTTTTGATTTAAAAGTTAGAAGCTATAGCTTACATGAAAAAAATCACAAACATGACACTTGTAAATAAAATAATTTTATATATACTGATTTATTCATTAATGTATAGGTTTTATTTTTTTAAACAAATCATAAGCTCTAAAAGATTTTCAGAATTTTTACAACTCTTGCTTTAGACCATCTACAAATGTTAAATCTTAAAATAAAATGTTAGGGTTAACACTGCATCTTTCTGGGGAAAAAATGCAGCGATTGATATTTAGTTTATTTATAGTTATTTTCAAAGCTTCAATGTACTGTCAAAAAACCTTCATTATTGTTTATTTAATTCTAGCAAATAAGTTATTGTTAAAAACCAACCAAAATTTTGCTTATAATTTCTGCACAGGAGAGACTTGGTGTTGTTTCCAAACAAAAGGAAATATAACGGTATCGGTATTGGCCAAAATGAGTTGAAAAATATCGGCATATCGGATATCAGCAAAAATCCAATATCGTGCATCCATAAATAAAAGTAAACCAATTTTGTTGCAGTGCATTGCTTTATTGCATGGTTGCATTGTAGTGCAGCTTTTTTGATTATAATGAGAGCAATATAGTTTTTTCTACATTGCACACAAGCAGTGTGCTTGCAAGAAAACTATATTTCTCCTATTAAAATTAATAAAGCTAGCTTGGTCACATTGCATCCCTAGATTGTGGTGTACACAGTTCTAGCATTGATTATAATGAGCAATTTAGATTTAGCTGTCTGCACTGCAAGCAACGCACTGCGATGTGACAGCTCGACATTGTGTCCAAGCAGTGTAGACAGCTTTGTTGATTATAATGAAAGAGAATATTTTTTACATTGCAATCAATGCAATGCAGGAAAACTTGATGGCTCCTGTTATTATCAATGAAATTGTCTGCTTTGCAATTTCACAATGCGACACAACAAATGCAACATGCGTGAGTTTGCCATTTATAATGGGAACAATATAATTTCCTTGCAAATCGTTTGATTGATTTATAATGGTAAGAACCTAGTTTGGTCCTGCAAGCTTACAATTCGACACAACACATGCGACATGGTGAAGTTGCTGTTTAAAATAGGAACATAAAATCTCTTTTTCTTGCACTGCGGTGCTCATATCATTGATTATAATGGTACGGATATAGTTTGGTCGCATCACTTGCTTGCGTTGACACAGTAGACCCGGTATTTGGCAGCAAGCTTTCCCGCTTCCACATCTCACGCTGGTGTGGTTTTAGTTTGCTGCGTTTGCTGTCATGGCACTCACATGCTTGGCCTCATTCGTTTTGCTGTTTACTCCATTTTTGCTTTTGCTTTTGCCCTGAACCTTTTGTCTTTTTCTACTGTGGCATCTGGGTCAGAGAGTGACGCGAGGACAGTATCAGCTCACCAGCCATAACAATAAAACAAGAGTGCAAATAAAGTCCCAGGTTTCCCGAGCATACAGCGACCTGAGATAAACCACTAGTCCTTTCCCTGATTATGATGTAATGCACATAACAAAGCAGATTTTTTTTCTAGGGTTCAAACCGGGCCACTTACTGTAGGGATGCTGAAGCAATCGATCCCTGCCCTCGACCCCAGAGAAAGGGTTTAAAAGTCAGATGATATAGTTATGGCTTCTTCATTTTCTTGTCTTTTAGTTTCTCTTTGTTTGTTTTTTTGTTTTTTTCCTTCAGTGGAAGGTTATGTAATTCTGTATGATAAATCCCTGTGGGTGGCATATTTATTTTAATGGTTCTCTATGTTGGCGGAGGGGAGCAAAATATTCAACTCTTGGTTACAAGAATACCACAATTAAAGTGCATCTTATTCTGATGTTTATTAAAAGTATACTTACAAGCTCTGTTCCTAGACCTACTGATCTTTCTTCTTAGACAGCACTAGACTCTGTCTGACATAAACATGACGCCAAGGCTATTCCAAACGATTTGTGCATTATTATGCTGCTTTCCAAGATACCTTGTTTTGCATAAAATTCATGCAGCAAGTATCCTTCAGGGAGAATTGAATCTCAGAATGTATGCGACAAACTCAGTGAAAAAAATTAAGATGACAGTAAGAGGAATACAATTTTAATGCAGAAAGTATCACTAAAATAAAATCATAAAAAATTGACAACTTTACACATTATTGTTTATTTAGCAGCCTATGTAGACAGCAATGCAACTCACTAGGTTTTGGAACAGAGCTTCAAGAGAGTCCAGAAGTAAATGTTTGTCCTGTCAATGAAGTGTTCCGCTTTCTTTAAATGATGCATATTTTTCCCTCGTACAACCCTTTTGCTATAATCTGTGACTTTATTATAAAGAAAACCATGAATTTTTTTCTTTTTAATTCGACAATCTAGGTCTTTTTTTTTTGTGTGTGTGTGTGTAGCTATTCTGATTTAAAGCATTTCTGCATGGCCCTCTGCATCATCTCATTTCAAGCGTCCTTTTTTGCTGCCCGTCATTCCATTGCAATCTTTACTTATTACCAGTTTGCATGGCATATTATTAGTGAGGAATATTGCAGTGTACAATGTTAGTTGCATATTAATATTTAAATACAAAAAGAAATTAAATTAGCATATTGGCCACAATAAAAATAACTCAATGCTTTTTAAAAGGTCCAAAACCAGCAACGTAAAAAGAGCATACATTGGACGTTCTCAAATATAAGAATAAACAGAGCTCCACATTCTGTGATCACTCACATCAGTTGTTTTCTTTTAGTTCCGTGACCTTTATGATTTACATGTTGAGAGTCATTTTAATCTGCTAGTTGGTAAGAAATTACAACATATTGTGACAGAAATAAATGTCAGTGAAGGCGTTCCAGTGTCCTTTTATTTTCTTTTTGCTAAGTGGTGGTAAATGTCATAGCAGTTTCACTCTGCGTGTTAAAATCACTCAATGAGCACAAAAGATTGTGATTTGCATTGACAGAAACGCAATGCACGGGCTGGTGAAATTAGCCCACTTGGCCCATGCAGTTTGTACCCGATTCCAGTGTTAATTAGTGTTCGATAGACGTCGTGCTGTCAGGCAAACTTAATGTAGCATCAGTATCGACCGAACGAAGCTGTTAAAGTAACCAGGCGATGTTGACAACAAAGAAATGCCTACCTGACATTCTGCCATCATTCGATTCAGTTCGCCACTCACACTTGAAACCCTTTGATATCGGATATTGGGCACCGGTCAGTGTTTTATGCAGTGTTTGAGTCGTTTTTGAGAGCTTTCATAACACTAATATCTACAATCCCATTAGCGTGTTTGACTTTTGATTGGTAAATGGTGAGAATCTTGATTTCTGGCGCTTTAACACAGGTATTGTAGATGCTTTTTGCTTTCGTACTAATTCAGAACGTAGCGAAATGTTTCTTTGAAACAAGTTTTTTCGTTTATGAGCATGCCTATTGTTTTGTATGTGGTATACTGCATTCAGATTATTTTTGTTTTTGTTTTTTTTCCTTCTCACCTATTCCACAATGCAATGCTGTCCCCATGATGCACCTCTGCTTGCTGTTACCTGTATGTTAATACGCTTGAATCCCATTGGCCCACTGCCATCATGTGCTCGCTGCCTGCTATTAAAAGACTCAGTCGACTGCCAAAGCAATGAAGCGACCCCTCGAGGCATCTGTAGATCTGGTACTATGACCTTTCACCTTTTGCTTTGCATGTAGCTTTTTAATGTACTGTAGCGACTCACAGAATTTTTTTATTTGGCTTCTTTGTTTTGATAGAAACAGTTAAAGTCACCAAGTACATGTAGAAATAACCATCAGTCAATTTTGAAGAATGAATGTGTGTCGTCTTTCAAAGTAAAGTAGCTTAATTGAAGCCTAGTAAACGTAAGTGTCTTGCTTAAGTATCTAGTGACGGTTGTCGTCGTCCTTGTGTAAAACGGAGCGATGCAGATTCGAGTCAACCTGTGCATTGATATTGTAAGTCGTGCATGCGTGAGAACCTCATTTAACTCGTGCATGTACTTTTTCACGCTCAGGCGTTTCCCCATGGAGTCCTGCAGCCCCTACCAAAGAGACCAGCACTAGAAAAGAGTAACGGGGCCAGTACGTTCTTCAACCCCAGTGTCTTGCACTACCAACAGGCTTTGGCCAGCGCACAGCTTCAGCAGCCCACCGCTGCGTTCTTTCCCACAGGTAAGAGCAAACACGCACACACATGTACAAACCCATGCACACACATCGCCCATACTGCTTTGTATTAATCCCTGGGTCACAATTTTACACCCGTTTTCTCTTCTCCGATCCCAGCGTAACGTCATAACCGAGGCCTTTGAACAGCTGTGTGCCCCTTTTGCATGCAGTGCATGTGCACAGAATACTAATGCATAATATGTTTAATAGGTTAAATACAGACACGTTATTTCGGGAGCACTGCTGATTTGAATATCTCCAGGACTACTGGGATACTTTGATCTAAAAGTGATAGCCGGCCATAGATTAAATTAGAAAGTTCAGTGCTTCAAGGTCTTTGATCTGCATCTGTACACTGTCATATATATCTTAACTCCCACAACACAAATGCTGATATATACATATTAAAAATTTTTTATTGCAATTGTATTGAACTAAGACTGAAACTAAAACTAACATCTCCGTCTCGGTTTCTTCTGTTTATACATACAGTACTGTGCAAAAGTCTTAGGCCATTAGTACTTTCACCAACAACAGCACAAAAAAAACGGTTTTAAGCCAGTTTTTTATATGTTTTGCTGTAGCGTGTCAGTAGGAAATATCAGTTTACATTTCTTTTGCCGTTAATTGTAATAATCCAGTGAGATTTTTGTATGCACAAGGAGTCTGACAGCAGCCAGTGCTGTTCATCTGAATTTTGCACAGTACTATATATATATATATATATATATTATGTGTAATCAAAATATGAAAATATTATTCGATTTATTGGCTTAATAGCCAACATGTACATCAATCACAGTGCATTGCAGTAAACAATATCCATATATATTCCACCTACTATCACCCTGTACCTGTAGGCGTACCTATTGCAGTATTTTTAGAACAATAAACACAGAAAAAGCTCTCTCTATACGTAGGGTTTTAGAGCGAGTCCAGCTGTCTAATCCCTTGTAGGTGTGTTTTGTCATCACACACCCACATGGTGGTTGTATTTCCTTTTAGCCGTCCTCTTGTGCCCCCATTCCTCCCTCTTCTCCAGCTCTGGCTCTTTTGTAACAGCACTATGTCTGTTTTAACCGTAGGAGTGGCCGTTGGCTCACTGCATGTCTCTCTCTTGTGTGTGTGTGTGTGTGTGTGTGTGTGTGTGTGTGTGTGTGTGTGTGTGTGTGTGTGTGGCTGGTTTTTAGCCTTTTCTGCCCTGTTGTCCTCTTCCTCTTCTCCTACACTGTTTCCCTGCTCTCTAATTTCACAACCTTGCGAATATTGATCCAGTTTATCTTCCTGGAAATATGCTAAGTTTTTAACCAGAATGACGACACGGTGGAGCGAGCGATCTATAATGACAAGCTTAATTGGATTTGTATGGCATGCTGAATTCTGAATCTCTGGCTCTGTGTCTAATATGTTTTTCTTCCCTATTAACCTCTCTCCACTCTTCACTGCATGGTCACAGGGTCAGTTCTGTGCATGGCTCCTGCTAGCAGCATTGGTAGGTTCCTCCTCTTTCTGTCTGTCTGTCTGTCTGTCTGTCTGTCTGTCTGTCTTCCTCAACTCACGTAGAGATGTAGTCGCTCTTACAGGTGATTTGAAGCTCAATAGACTTTGACTGTCATGTCACACAAACTACCAGGTCAAATTAGCACCTGTTGATGGAATCTGATCAGTGCATCTGTTTTCTGCTTCATTATGCTTCTATTCATCTGCAAGAGCACTTGTTTGAAATATTCACATTTCTCTTTCTGAGGTTTCACAATTTACAGTATTTTTTAATCAGTATTAATTATTTACAGTGGTATTTACGGTAATATAATTATTTTATAGTCATTCTGTATATTTTATATATTCATATTCTTCCGTTTTGATTTTATCTCAAATTCTGATATTTGTTTTACATTGGCTGATTATTATTTTCATTATTCTTAGTAGTAGTAATTATTATAGGAATTCATATTATTCAATCTATTTTAAATGATTTCAGTTTTTGATTTGGTTTTAACAGTGGCTATTATTATTATTATTATTATTATTATAGGAATTAGATGTTTTATATACTGTATTTAGATTTATTTTAAACTATTTCAGATTCAAATTTTTTACAGTGACATTTATATTATTATTATTTTAGTGTTGTAAAGTTTATTTTTATTTAAATTTTTATGTATTTTACACACACACACATATATATATATATATATATATATATTATTCATTATAAATCATTAACAGTGGATTTTATTATTGTTTCTATTATTATTAATATTAATTTGTTTTCATATTATTCATTTTACATTTTTACAGTGGTCTTTTAAAGTTTACTTTTTATATATTTATATATAATTTATGAATTCATATATATTCATTTTACCTTTTTTTTTTTACAGTGGCTATTATTATTGTAAATATTACTCTTATTATTACCATCTTCATCAATTCATTGTTTTAAACTGTCATTTAAACAGTTATTTAAACAGTATTTGTGTGAAAACACCAGATCTAAGCAAACAGGCTTTTAATAATAGGCATTGTCTTGTCTTGTGTACTATTGAATGGGAAATTTGATCAGTTTCCTAGAGAAATAGCCCACTTGATCATAAATGACCACACAAATGGCCATTCTGTGTAGTTTGCCGTAGATCATAGGCTCAATACTTGAAGTCTCGCCCGATCCGAGCGTGGTGGGCTAACAGCATGTGTAAATCTATCACCCCCCACTAACCACTCGTGACTTCTCTGGGTACAACTGATTATGGTGATAAATTTCCTTGAGGTGATTGTAATCAGCCTTTTTCCTCTTTTTTTTTATTTTATTATTATTTTTTTTGTTCGTTTATTTTGTTTTGTTTCCCATGCTTCTCTCGCTTTGCATCGTGATTGCATGCCATCTGCTGGTTTAACCTAATGATGGCTCGCTGCTCTGTAATATACACCACTGCTAAACAACTAAACCAAAAAACAAACTACAAAATCCCTACCAACCAACCAAAACACCTGTTACCATGGTTTCCATAATGCTCCACCTACCTTTTCATTGCTTCCATGGTTCCCTTCCTGAAAAAGTACCCATGATGTACAGTGCTACGCCTGCTACTGTCTCTGCAGCAACACCCCCTGCCACAAGTGTCCCCTACGCAACAACAGCACCAGCCAATCAGGTTTGCTCCTTTTAAAAGCTTTCTTTCATAAATCCCCGAGCTCTGAATAAGCACTTTGTTACAAATTCATTCCGCGGTCGCCATGGCGATCGCAAAATCTCCCGGCAAAATTGCATTTGCGCTCACGACTGTGCTTATTCAGAGCTCGCACATTGGCAAATAATAGTTGTGTTGTGTTGCATTATTTTCTCGTTTTGTTGTGCATGTCCTTGCTTTTATTTTGATGTCAAGATATCCTTCCTCATCTACACATACACACAAGCTAAAAATAGACCCGTTCTCACACACACACACACCACTCCATTCTAGTCTGATTTCCATTTATTCTGCCACTCTTTGTCTGCGTCACGGGCTTCGAGAAAGCAGGGAGAAGGTGAGTTGCACTAAAAACGGTGCTGTAGGAGGGAATCTGCACTGGCAATTACAATGTCAGACTGACAGTAGCCACAGACTTGCTTATTATCTCCGTTGTGCACAAATGAACACCATTTCATGTGTTTTTAGGCAAATTCGGAGGTCAAAATGCACTCAAAATAGCTGTAGCGTTATAAAAGATCCGCATCTTTTATCAGTTCCCATCAGGCCACTCCCATTCCTTTGTATTGTTCGCTGGAGGGTCACATAAGGAGACTTTAAGGGCTTTCCCACTTCCGTCCTTCTTAAATGGAGCCTTCCTGTCAGTCAGTGGCTTTTCCTGTTGTTTCACGGGCCTGAATTTACTCTGCGCTCAGGAACTGGGACGTTGAGGGTTATTTGTAGTCTTGTCACATGAAACTGAACCTGTTTCCTGAAGGGCTCTTGCCAGACGGTTCGAGACTCTTTAGCACCACCTGGCAGGAGAATGAAGTACAGCACGGGGTTAATAGAGCATAAAAGATTTAGTTCATACAATTTCTTAATTGTACAGTATCTTTAATAATCAGTTCGGTTTCAGCATAGAGCCACAAATCTTGATGTTGAACATGAATCTGTGTTTGCAGCCCGTTTTTACTTAATATGTAATACCTAACTTGGTAAGAGTGCTCTGGTTTTGTGAAATTTTCACAATTATTTTTGTGGTTTTGAAATTTACAGTATTTTAAAATTCATTATTTATGATGATAATAATAATATAATTGTTAATAATGTTTAATATTTGAATGACAATAGCATTTTAAGTTAATTAATTGTAATTAATAAAAAAATTATAATTTGCTGCTTAACCACTATTAAATTCGTTAAAATTATTTAAATAATTATCAAAATAGTATTATTGTTAATAATAATTAATTCAAAAACAGTACATTTAAAAAAAAAATTGTGAAAGTCACATTTAAAATTAAGATTTTGTTAATAATGGTTTAAGATAATATTTGATTTAATAACATTATTTTAAAATGTATTATTAATAATAATAATAATAAATAATACCATGACATTTATTTTGATAGTATTTAATAATATAAAAACAACAGAGTATA